CATTTAACTAAACTCGCCTCAAACTTGCAATCCTCCTGCCTCAGCTTCCTCACTAGCTAGCATTGTAGGCATGCACCATTGCACAGCCATGCAAAACCCTTCAGACATCCAGTAATCTTCAGAAGCTATTGAACTTAACATTGGGCCAGTAACTGAAATACTTGTACATACTGATTCTTGCCCTTTCTTTCTTGTTTACATAACTTTTTTAAAAAAAATTTATTAGATGTTGATGGACCTTTATTTTATTTATTTGTATGTGGTGCTGAGAATCGAACCCAGTGCCTCACACATGCTAGCAAGTTCTCTTCCACTGAGCTACAACTCCAGCCCCCTTGTTTACATAACTTTTAAGAGTATTTTTAAAATTCCTTTTCAATACTTATAGCTATATGGCTGTATATCGTAAGTATTACTTATTTTTGCAGTACTGGGGATGGAACCCGGGGCTGTGCTACTACTGAGCTACTGCATCCTAAACCCTTTTTATTTTATTTTGAGACTGAATCTGGCTAATTGCCCAGGCTGGCCTCAAACTTACAATCCACCTGCCTCAGGCTCCCAAGTAGTTGGAATGATAGGTGTGTGCTTCTACACCTGGCATGTAGTATTTATAGACTTGAATAAACTATCAGCTTCTAACTTTTTAGGCAAGATCTGAGAAGCAAAATTTGATTCATTTCCTATTCTTCAAGGTTAGCTTTAAAAAGGTGGCTTAGTTAAAGCTGTAAGTGCAATAGTAATCAGCTTACAGTTATTTTAATCCTGTGAGACTTACAGGGATATCACTTAGTTATTTACAGGGCATTCTAGAGCACTACTGCCTTGATTTGTTGATGTGAGTAGAATCTTAAATTATCCTTGAGAGTCACTGTGCTTGAGTGATTTTTAGTATTGTTCCATCTTAAAGTGATTTCTAGAATGTCAGTTCCCTAAGAAATTGTGAGGATTATTAATGCGCATTGAGAAAAACTTGTTTGCAAATGCCTGTTGCTTTGGGGTGTGTGTGTGTGTGTGTGTGTGTGTGTGTGTTGTGCAGTTTTGGGTACTGAACCCAGGATCTTACTCATGCTGGGCAAGTGCTCTACCATGCTTTGTTGTTCACACAGAAGTAGCTAATACATGAAATCTGTCACTCATAATAGGTACATACTTCAGAAGAATTTGGGATGAAAACAAATGAATGCTATTAAAGAAATCATACAATAGTGGTTGAAAAATGCCCCTGTGTTAGTAAGCTTTTCATAGCTGTCACAAAACACCTGACAAGAGCAACTTAGAGGAAGAAAGATTTATTTTGGCTCATGATTTCAGAGGATTCAGTCTATGTCCATGGTCTGCCAGGTCGTGGTGGAAACATCATGGTGGAATGAAGTAGTGAAGGAAAACTGCTCAGCTCATGGCCACCAGGAAGCACAGAGAGAGGAAGGGCCCTTCCAGGGCACGCCCTAGTGACCTACTTCCTCCAGCCAGGTGACACCTGACATAGTTCATTCAGCCAGCAGTGGATTAATCTTTTTCATGAATGAATCCATTTTGATGGATCAGTTGGATTAGTCAATGGATTAGATCAATAAATTGATTAATTATGCTAGTTAAAAAAACACCGGAATATCTTTACTAGATTTCACTTGTTAACATTTTACCCCATTTGTGTTATCTTTTCTATTTATGTATATGTATGTGTGTATATATGTGGTTTTTGACAGTGACTTTTAAAAACTATTTATTTTCTTTAATTATATAAAACAGCAGAATGCATTTTGATTCCTTGTACACAATTGCAGCACAAGTTTTCATTTCTGTGTACACGATGTAGCATTGTACCATATGTGCAGTCATAGACATTTTTAAAGATTATTTCCAATGTTAGAATTTATTTCCATTTAAATTTAAAATTTATTTTCTATTGTTAGAATTTCTAAAAATTGGGTATCACATCCATGCAATTCTCCTTTTTAAAGTGAACAATTCAATGGCCACTATAACTGTGACTTAATTCCAGAACATTTTCCTTACCCTGAAAGAAACCTGTCACCCTTTTGGAGTACTCCTCATTTCCTCCTTCCCCGATAATCTGTTTTCTTTGGATTTGCTTATTCTGAGCATTTCATACAAATGGCATCAGACGGTATGTGACCTTTTATGTCTTAGATGATGTTTTCAGGGTTCATCCATATTCTAGCATTAACCCGTATTGAGTCTGAGTGCTGAATAGTATTTCATTGTGTGGATCAACAATATGGCTCAGTAATGTGAAGTATCTCCATTCACCATCTGAGAGAGATTTGGGTTGCTTCCCCTTCTGGGGTTTTATGGATGCTGCTGCTAGGAACATCCCAGTCAAGTTTTTGTGTAAATGTGTGCTCAGTTCCCCTGGGTGTACGCTGAGGAGTAGAACTGGTGGGGTCGTGTGGGAAGGGTTTAACTTTTTGTGGAACTACCCACTCTTTATTTTAATATTTTTTAAGTTGTAGATGGACATAATACCTTGGTTTTATTTATTTATTTTTATGTGGTGCTGAGGATCGGACCCAGTGCCTCACAGGTGCAAGTGCTCCCCCCTAAGCCACAGCCCCAGACCCCCAGTCATTCTTTTTCTTTCCTGAGACATTTTCCCCGCTCTTTGAAAACACAGGACAGTGATTCTGGGCCAGGGTGGGTGCTTTTCAACTTCAGATGTCTGTCTAGAGGGTGACCGCTGGGGACGATTTCTTTAGAGTCTGGCGTGCTGCTCCTGTTTTGACCTGACGTGACCTGACCTGCAGAGTAGTGCTTTTCATCTCTGTCTAGTGGTTTTAGTTTCTTTTTGGTCCCATAGAGAGATCGCTGGTCACTGCAGTTGTTTTAGGAGGTAGGAGTGCTTCCTCATTGGAATATTGTTTACCCTTATCTAATGATTTATGAGGAAAACGGAATCCATTCAACAAATGAAGGTTTTTTTCATCTTTTGAAAAACACTGGAGAAAATGAGACAGAATGTAGCATTAGTCATATTCCTTTAAATGGAAGAAAATGTAAAAATGAGTTTTGTTAGTATAATTAATTGGAATTGGTGGTGGCAAATCCAGATAGCCATGGGAATGAAATTTGTTTAAATGTTATTTTAATATCTGTAGTAATTGCTGTTCTATCGTACCTGATAGAAAAAGTGGAAAAAAATTGAATTTCTATCTGGTTCAGGCATCTTTAGTCATAGGTAGGAAGATCTTAAATGTCTTCAGAAGCTAAATAAATGAAAATTAAAGATAAGAATTGAGGTAAGGATTGCTGAATTCTGTTAGATAATAGAAAAATTAAGTAACATTTAATCTAGGCTGAAGGCTACAAACAATGACTGTGAGATCAACCTTTCTTGAAGTTATAAAATCATTACTAAACACAATATGTATTAAAGTTATCAAGAAGAATCCAGGGTATCCTGTCTGAAATCTTAAAAATAAAACTTTGATCAGCTAAAATGCTATCACCAAAAATGTCTTGGGATGATATCTAAGTGTTTAAATAAAGGATATGCAACTTCCAACCATGGGGAGATTTAAATTTAAATATAAAAATATTTGCAAGTCAAACTCATGGAATTACTAATTTTATGCTAAAGAGGCAGCACGTATTTATTTTATATACTTACAACAGCCTACTAGAGCAATATGTCAGTCTCCTAATTCCATTTCAAAATTTATAATTAAGTAATTGACTTATTGTAGTTTTTAAATAGATTTCTTACCAAATTTGTTTACATTATATGAATATTTACAAAAACTTAAGTCACCATATCTATACATTTAGTTTATTGGATTTATAGGTTAAGTACTTGAAAACTTCTGTAAGATAAAGTGAACTTTCTATGTAGAAAGTTTCAGAGTTCCAGTGGAATCAGATATTCTACCTGATTCTTGGTTGGTTGCTGGACACGATGGGTACCATGTTCTTGGGTGTCTGATGGTTTTCTGCATGTGGAATGTTGGACTTGATTCTCATGTGCAGCCATTTGTGAACTAGCTGAAGCTTGCTAAGCCTGATTTAAAGTTACTTTGAGGCAGGTCCATAGCAGACTTTATTCTAGGGCTAGTCCTACTAGAAGGATGTGACCTTTTTCAGGTCTCTGCTGAAAGCTCTCAGTGTTCAAAGAGACCTCTCCTCTCTTGGGGGTTAGATCTTGAATGACTTCCAGACCTTTGTGAACTCTGGGAAATCTTCAGTTTACAATTGCCTGGTGGTTCTTGGCCAGCCTTGGCGCTCACCCCGAGTGTACATGGCTCACCGCTTGGGTCTCAAGCTTGCTCTGACAGCTGCCTCTTCTGTGGATTCTGCCTTGTCCATTCCTGCTGCTTTAGCAGCGCTCTGCCAGAGTTCTCCCCCCCCCCCCCCGGTGCTGTGGTCTGTATGTGTTGGGGTTCTTGGAGTGCTCATCTCTTGTCTTCCCCTTCCCTCAGGGATCCTGGTCTGGTAAGGTCCGTTGTCAAGTGCCTGAGAACAGTGCACACGCATATTTTAGACATTTAAGAAAGCACATTTAAAATTTTGTTTAGAGATGGCATAAATCATGAGCACCAAACAGGACAAATGGCCAGATCCAAAGTCAATGAAGTAGAGAGGTTTTCTCTATATGTAGATAAGTCCAAGGATGGAGAGGGAATGAATAATTGTGATCAAGTGAGATTCTTCACAGACAAGGGTAACAAAGTCTTGGTAATCTGCTGAACGTTAATCTTTTATTGTTGTTCTTGAAATCCTTAGATGTATTATTGCTGTTCTCATGTATGTCACACAGCTGTTTTGTGATAAACATTTGTGAATTGAAGTGTTAGTTTTCTGTTACATAATTAAATTTTTAAATTTTGCCTACAGTTCTATTTTTTTGCAATTTTATAGAACATGTAAGGCATGTCGATATGTTTGCTTGCGTCGCTTCTTCTAGTAAACTCATACTCTCGATAATTTGTATTTGCTACTGAGAGAGAAGACAAATTGAAATGTCTCTTTTTTCTTAATTTTAGAGACCTATTACTACGTTTCTCCACTAGTTGGTGCCTTTTTCTTGGCCCTAACTCCTATCTGGATTATAATAGCTGCCAAACATCCAGCTACGAGGACAGTTCTCCACTCAGGCTGGGAGCCCGTCATCACGGCGATGGTGATAAGTAGGTTAGTGCTAAAGTGTGTGTGTATGTGTGTGCATATTTCAAAATGGCCTGTTTTTATTTCTTGGATTAATCATTTTATATAGCCATTTCATAATTCTCTCAGGTAATAAGGGAAGTTACAGAAGTTATTGAAATCAGTAGATGTGCTGAAACTATCGGCCATGAATTTCAAACTTCTCTTCAACAAGAGCCTTACTGGATGGATAAATAAAATTGTGTGTGTGTGTGTGTGTGTGTGTGTATGTTTGTATTTAACCCAACAAATACATTACTTATTTTTTTAAATATATATTTTTAAGTTTCTGATGACCTTTATCTATTTATTTCTTTATTTATATGTGGTGCTGAGACTCAAATCCAGTGCCTCACACATGCCAGGCAAGTGCACTATGGCTGAGCCCCAGCCCCAGCCCCAGCCCAAGACATTACTTACTTTGAATAGTAAGTTGTAAGTGTCAGAAAGCCTTGGAAATGTACATGCCATTTGACTCATCCAGGATTCTGACAGACTTAAAAATATAATTGAAGATATATGCAAAAGATATAATTGCAAACATTCTCATCACAGTGGAGTTTTTAATAAGAAAAAATTTAACAACTTTAAATTCTAGCATCCAGATATCGATTAAATAAACTGTAGTATAGTCATAAAATAGAATATTAGCCATTAAAAAGAACATTATAGAAATACTAGAGAGTAACTTAGAAAAGAGTATGGATTTCCTATAAACATGGTAAATTAAGACACATTTGTCTTTTTCTTCCCTGAAACTACTAAGATGACGAAAAACAAAAATGCTGTGAGACCATGGAGACAAAGGGGAACTCAGAGAGGGTAGCAGGTGAGATTCTCCAAACATTGAAAGATAGAAATCAGAGCAATCGTGGGTAACAAACAGGCCGAAAGGAAACAGCTGGAAGTAGGCATCTTTTAGGAGCAAACTGGTGGGACTCTCAGAAACCCAGGGAGGCGGAGGACATAGAGGCATCGGTTCTCCTGAAAGCTGGAGTGAAGGTCGGGGGAAAGCGTAAGGAACAGTTAGACCCCAGGCTGAATGCCGCCTCCCCCTTGGCAGAAGGAACCCTGGAGAGGCTACATCAGAGAGGCTCCAGGTGCCAGGACGCCTGCGCAGGTGAGGAGTGGATCAAGCACTGTCTGGAAGAGAGGAAGAGGAGGGGAAGGTCCACGGGGACTGGAGAGAGTCACCCACTTCCTTTTCTCTGTTCATAAAATCCTGGTGATGAGGCTATGCCTCCAGGCCCAAAGAAAAAAAGTTAATTATTTCTGAGGAAACTTATCAGCACAAAAGAAAATACCTGCAGATACTGACCCTTATTGTCCCTGTGGTGGAAGGGCTGCAAGGCCACATGGTGATAGACTGCCCATGTCTCCAGAGCTACACGAACACTGTGCGGGGCCCTGAGGGAGCAGCAGGCAGGAAGCATGGCCAGGCATGTGGTGAAGGCCTCCAGTATGCAAAACCGACTAACATAGGTACTCAAAGAAGGGCAAGAGCTCATCAAAAAACCATCATCGTGTCCTCAGACTAAGACATGCTGTGACATCCAGAATGTCAGAACCGACTATTAGGGGGAAAAAAAAAGAGGCAGGAAGCACTCCTGCCTCCAGAAGCAGATGAACTCTCCTGGACAGTAGAGAGCAAAGAGGTGGACAATAGGAGGCAAATGATAAGGAGAGAAAATTACCTGGAACCTGGTTTCCAAATTGAAAGGGCCATCTAGTGTGCATGTCGTCATAAATCACAAGTTCCAGAAAAAGGAAGTTACACATAAAGGTCTGGGTATTGTTATGCCAGATTCGTGGGACCCCAGTAGACCTCCAGGAGCGGAATCTGATGCAATCACACAAGAGTCTTTATTGCAAGCTCCAGCCTGGACTCACAACCGTTTCCAACGCAGCAGTCCCAGGGAGTGAGTCCCTATCCTTTGTTCAGGGAGATTTTATAGGTTTGGGGGGATACTCTATGCGTCACAAAATCACACAGCGGGAAAATCAAACAACGACTCTTAACATTGATTAGCACATTCACCGGCAGGAACAAGTTGGGTAGGGGTGATTGGCTAGTACAAGAGGGGGATTCATTTGAACTGATTGGTTTAGGCCACGAGGGGTGTACTTGCTGAACTACATGGTTTCCCAACATGTTATCAACCACCATAAACTACTTGGGGGTCATCTGGCATCCCCAGGTATTTTCCCTGTCTTATGCTGATTGGAGGTTGCTAGGGGGTTGCTGTGGGCCCTCACCTAGCCTAACTGAGTCAGGGATATCTGGCGCCCCAGACGCTCCTATTATTTACAGACAAACAACTCAGCAGGGTGGGTATGTACTTAGGAGTCCTCTGTGGGTTTTTCCAAGGACAAGGTCACACCCCCTTCCTTAGGACAGGCCTTGAGGTAGAAGCTGCTGTTATTCATTTTTAAAAATAGAATCACATTAGTTTCTCAGTATCAATATGACATCTAATAGCAATGCCAGAAATGATTTCTTCAAAATTCCAAGGGTTAATTATTTTGGACATAAAACAGTCACAGTATCAAATAAGAGAATGTCCACAGAGCTACACGAACAAATAAAAATTAAAAAAATAAAAAGAAAATTCCGGACAGGCAGGATCTCATAGAATTTAGTTCCCATATGCCCTTTCTGTTTAAGCTGATAAACAGAGTCATCTATCAACGTGAGGAAATAAATCAAGAAAGAACAAAGAACAAGGAGTTCCATTCTGTGACACTGTGTGGTTCCTTTTTCTGTAATGTAGATTGCTTTTTCCAGTGAAATTTTGGAACTTGGTGGTGGTAATAGAACAAGAGGCACGTGAAGGCCCACCCTGGCAGCAGCTGTGCCTGAGATCTGGTGGCCCATGCAGTTGTCAGGAGGGGAGTGGGCATGAGAGGAGATGTCTCTAAGAATTGAGAATCATGGAATTGATTGGATGCCTGACATGTTGATGTATTTAGAGGTATTTCATTGACTTTGCTGCACATTTGAGGCTGAATTAGTAATACATCAGGCAAAGCAAAAGTACATGTGAGGATGTTTTGTACACTAGGCTATGAATAATGATTCCATTGTTATAATAAAATCGACCCTAAATACTTCACCCAAATTATAACATAGCCACATCGGCAGGATGAAGGAGGAAGGGATTTGTGAAAGCTCCAAAGTAGGGAGAGATTATAAGAGGCTAAATCCTCATCTGCCAGAGCAGGAAGTCATTAGAGAAATGTCTAGAATTAAAAATGAGAAATACAAGCTGGAGCATGTTATTTAGAAACCGAATTAAATGCCAGGAGAAACGGCTAAAGAAGTTAAAAAGAACTCCCAGTAGAGGAAAGGATCTGGGCTATGATTTTATTATAAAGCTTTGTGGTCCTTTTAGTTTTCCAATAATGTACCTTTGTTTGATAAAAATAAAATTTAACAGAAACAAAACTTTCACAATTTGATCTAATTTTTATTTTTAAAAATATACATTAAAATGTTTGGGGTGGGGTTGGGGAGATTTGGGTGCAAATATTCATATTTTTTTGTTAGGTCTACTGTATAGCATGGTGGCCAGAGTTGATAAGAATGTATTGTATTTTTCAAAGTATGTGATTGTTATGTGACATTTTGCCATGTTAATTGACTTTGACTCAGCCATTCCACAATGCATACATATTTAAAACATCATTTTGTACAGCATAAATACATGCAATTTTTACTTGTCAATTTAAATAAATAATTAAATAATAAATATATAAATAAAAATATATGCAAAGCTATATACCAACATGCTAACAGTATAACTCTGAATGATATATCTAAGATTGGTTTTTATTTTCTTTTTGTTTGTATTTTCTAAAATTTTTTTAGTAAGTTTCATTACCTGGGTAGCAAAACTATTTACAAATGTTCATGTCATATTTACATTATGAGCTTTGCATTTTGACAGGGAGATTTATTCTTTGACTTATAAGTAGTTACATAAATACACACATAGTACCAACTATATAATGTATGTTATATATACATAGAGTACATATACATATATATATGCTATATATAGTATGTGTATGAATATGTAGTATGTGTTTGTGTATAACACACACACACACACACATACTCTATGGGCTTAACATACTAAATATTTCTAAGGACTATTTTTAGACCCTCTGGTATCCCTTTCTAATGGAACCTCCACAGTTTAAGCATATCAAGCCAAAATTAATTTATTTTTCAAAAGAATTAAAATAATAAGGAAATGATCGTTTCCTAATGTTAACCATCAGGTAGTGGTAAGACATTTGGTCTGATTTTTTTTGGCATGCTAGGCAATAGAGTGCCGTGGGACTGGCGATGCTTTATAGCACATAGGCCAACAGACTGAAGTTGACCCATTAAGGGTGGCCTTGGCCTCCAAGTCCTATTGAGACATTGAGTGTCTGGCTCATTGCTTTATTATATTAAAAATAACTTTGGTTTTTTTTTTAGACTTCTTGGGATCAGTTCTTTCTATGGTTACAACTTATTATTTTAATTTACTGATGATAAGACACGTCTCAGGCATATCTGTTTTCAGCACAATAAAAATCATCCCTTTAAACTGCTTACTTCAAATGTGAAAAGATACTTTTTTTTTTTTAAAGAGCAGGTTTCACTAAGTTACATAGATTACCTTGAATCTGTGCTCCTCCTGCCTGAGCTTCCCCAGAAGCTAGAATTACAGGAGTACACAGCTGCACCTGGCTCAAATAGATATTTTAAAAAATTATTCTATTCAGAGAGTGGTAGGTGATTTCAAATATTAATAAGCATGGAAGGATATAAAATGCTATTAGTCCACTGTTAGTCTCACTCCCTAGAAAAGGACATGGTTAATAATTTCTTAATTTAAAGCATGTACTTATTCTTTCAACAAGTGATTTATATGGAGATCAGAGTCCTGAAATTTGGGGCTATAGCTTATGCCATGTTTTATTTCCAACTTTTTACCGTTTTTCCCCACTTTTAAAAATTGGTGCCTAAGAGTTGTACGTACTGACAGGAATTGTTGTTACATGTTCGTATGTGCCCACAGTACACAATTCCAACTTTTTACTATTGATATTGATTTATATTTTGAATATTTTTATTCTGTTTTTAATGTATGTAAGCATTTTATACTACAAAGTGTCTGTAGGTACAGAACAACTTCAAGTTCCTTTTTCTTCCTCTTTCATAAATTATGTGATTTTATTTCTTTCAGCATTGGGGGCCTTATTCTGGACACAACTGTATCTGACCCAAACTTGGTTGGGATTGTTGTTTACACTCCAGTTATTAATGGTAAGAATTATATGTGCTGTTTTGTGATGATATCAAATCTTTATATATTCTTAGGTGCTAAAGGAGTCTCACATTTTAGGAGATCTATCGTCCCATTCTTTCCACCAACTCCAAGTTGTTATTCAGAAGGGAAATTACCTTCCCTAGTCTCAGAATGTAGGACACATTTTTAGGATGAACTGTTTTTTAATTGAGATATAGGTTTGCTAGGCGTCCCTGACTTGAAGTCTAGTATGGCCTTGGGCCTGTTTGCTAACATGTTATTTTGTTGCTGCTTTTGCCAGTGGGCCTGGGTGGATTAGAATTAGCAAGGTTTAACTATTGCCTGAGTCAGTTCAGTTCATTAAAATCTGTCACTCCTTTGCTGATCCCTTTAAAATCTACCTTGTGTTTTTTCTTATCTGTGAAACAGGAATATAATACTTACATTACAGAGACTTTTTTAATGAATTGCACTTAATAAGATCATTTTAATCCAATCCTACTGGCTTTGGGGATGGCTGTCATTAAATTGGATTTTAATGGTAGCCTAGACCAATATAATTTAAAAAGTAATTCTACCTGAGGAATAACACATCACAGGATATATTACACATTCAATATAAATTACTTTTCTATATTTATGTAAAATAAAATGTCATACAAAGGCAAGTTCTCCAAAAGTCTAATCAAGTTTCTACTGATCATACTAATCTTTGTCTGCCTTATAGTGTCCCACACCCGCATCCTTAAAAGCATCAAGCTGGCTCTTCTCTCTGACCAGGAAATGGCCAGGCATTGTTTATTGGCCCCTTAACAAGACTTCTTCATCCGTTGGTTTATTTACATAACAAGCGCCTCTCCCCACTGTAGGTAAGGTCTCCCTGAAGCCATCCACTAGAGTGATGAGTAGCCTTCCTGACTCACTCCCTGTACCCTGCAAATTAAATGTCACTAAAAGACTGATCTTCCTTAAACTTTGTTTTTATTACATCAGTCATGAGATGAGCTTAGCAGTGGTTTTCTCCTGTGTTTCAAGTCACGATCGACTTCGCCTGGCCTGGCCAGCGTCCAGACCCTTCTTCTGCTCTTGGACTCGGTGTTTCTTCCCAAAGGACACACACAACTTCTTCTGTTATCATTATGACTAGATTCATGTATTGTTCCTGTAAAGGCTGTCTGATTTCCACTGCCTGGAGTGACTCCCAATTTCTGTCTATTAAAATTCTCTTCAGTGAATATTAATTGGAAAATTCATTAGCATAAATATTTTCCAATAATGATTGTTAGAGCCAAATTGAACAACATTTCAGTGAGAAATTTAACTTAAATGGCCACAAGGCCTTTATTCACAGGCTTTAATTAGTATTTCCATTATTTCACTTTTACCTAAGAGACCTCTCTGGAATGTCAGGAAGGGCTGTCTTTGGAAGTCTGGCCATGATACATATCATGGTGATAAAATCCATTTTGTGTCTCAGTGAGGAAACCTCTTAGTTGAGTGTCACACTGAGTTCTTCTGACATTAAATTCCACTCATAAAAAATCTTCATAGAGAGCTGGGGTGTGGCTCAGTGGCAGAGCACTTGTCTCACACATGTGAGGCCCGGGTTGGATCCTCAGCACCACATAAAAATAAATAAATAAAATAAAGGTATTGTGTCAACTACAACTAAAAAGTAAATATTAAAAAAATATCTGCAGAGAAGATTTCCTCCCAATTCCTCAAGTAAGCTGGAGCTTTGGAGAATTGAATTTCCTTTTAAATTTGCTGAGGTGGACTATTTAAGGGACCCCTGTGTTGTTCTCCTCCTCCTGCTCTTTTTTCATCGTTTGCTATTTAGTGAGCCCCAGGAACTCACAGCTCTTTTATGGATACTACATTATCATTTAATCTTCACAAGAAGTAAATTGCCCGATGCCTCGTATCCAGTAAGTGGTGAGTCAGGGTTTAAACCCAGAGCTGCTTGGTCCCTAAACCTGTGTTTCCCCGGCCCTCCACCCCTGAAATTGTACAGCTATTAATTCTTTTCTCAGGTATACAAATACATTGTTTAAACTTTATCTGAATTGATACTGTGATTAGAATATCTCCCGAGACTTACCAGCATCTCTCTAATTATTAGCGTTTTCCAAGTACATTTTGTGGTAACACTAGTTTCTGTGAGTATAACTTGGAAAGGGAGTTCTGTGGTCAGTTTGGTAAACATTAGGTTAAACAGATTTTTCTACTACAGGATTCTTATAGTCTTTATTTTAAAATATCATTTTTGTAAATCTCTGCTTTGGGTACTTCTGCCAGCTCGGGATTAGAATTTCTGGATCCAGCTTTCCTACAGGCCACTTTGGGAACCACTGACCTATGGCTGATGGCCTGCCGTATTTTATCTGTTCAAACAGAAATATACTACTTTACATTTCAGAGAAGAGACCTCGGTCAGGACACGTGAATCGCCACTCTTTCTTGTGTTCTTTTTGGCATACATTCTACGTTGTTATAAATCCTGTAATACATTGTGATTGTGCTTTTAAGAGTTTTTTAAGAAGATAAAGGAGAAGGTGCTATCTTCTGTATTCTCGTGAGGCTGACATGTGCCGCACTTCTCTCTCCTGTGCACATCCATCGGCACCGGGGACCTTCCATTTGCTGGGCCAGTGCCTTCCGTGTTTCTGGAGGGCAGTCTGCGGAGGAGAGAGGCTGTCGGCGCTGGTCTTTCCTTTCTCTCCACCTCTGCTCTTGCCTTTACCACTGTCTGTTAACCCTCTTTGGCCAGTCTCGGAGGAGGGGCTGGCTCTGTCCAAGAGTGACAGGTGCACCTGTGCCACTACAGCTCCGTGGGACCCGCCCTCCACCCGTTATTGTACTCTCCCCTGCCTTCCTCTGTCCATCTTTTCCCTTTGCCTGTGCGTGTGATCAGGTGGCTCCCCATGCCCCTGCCATTCTCGGAGAAGTCCCTTTTATTTCCTTTCACTGGTTTCCGCTTTCTACCTGCCTCTTTTTAAAAAAATATTTATTTTTTAGTTGTAGTTGGACATAATACCTTAATTAATTTATTTTTACATGGTGCTGAGGATCAAACTCAGGGCCCCACATGTGCAGGGCGAACGCTCTACGGCTGAGCCTTTAAGACTCTTTTCTCTGAATCATCCTCTATTCTATCTTCACCTTTTTTTTTTTTTTTGCACCAGGGATTGACCCCAGGGGCACTTAAACTCTCAGCCCTTTTTATTTTTATTTTGAGACAGCGTTTTGCTACTGCACCTGGCTCTCTTCACCGTTTTTGTGAGTGATTTTGTCTAGACCAGAGATTTTCAAAGTGTGGCCCCTGGGATCTAAGAAGGGCAGATTCTCAAGCCTGATGAGGGAGCTCTGAGGTAGAACCTCTCAGCCGATTCTGATAACATATAAAAGTTTGAGGACCGTGTCTTTGTCATGTGGCTTTAGTACTTTATCTCTAGCCCTGAAACATGTTCACTTCCAGACTCACACTTTAAATTAGATGCTTTCATATGAAAGACCGTTATAGCTCCTTAGTGAACTCCCCCTCTCCCCTACACCCACTCTTCCTCTCTGCTTCTGGTATTTCCATCTCCCTGTATCCCAAGCAAAATGCCACACGCTCCTCCTCCATACTCTGCTTTTATGGGCTCTTGAAATACCTTCTGAATGAGTCTCCATGTTCTGTCTGTCGTCCTTTTGTTCAGTGTCTTTCCTGGGTGCATCTGCACAGTGCCTCCCTGCTCCTTCTCTCTTGCCCAGTTTAACCTGTTGTCCGCGTCTGCTGTAAGTTACCTTCCCCCAAAACCTGCTTTTGGCCCTTATTCAGAGCACAGATAGTTTTCTATTTCCTAGAGGATAAAGTACTCAGTGTCACAACATACTGGGCCAATGTGCCCTGACTCAGCCTCCCGGCTCCCTTCCCTGCCACACCACACACCGCAAAACTTGCATCTCCTTGATGAACTGAACACAGCCTGTTGTCCCTGGGTGCCAGGCCTGTGTACTTCCTGATCTTATTCTCCCCTGGGAAGTTCTGCTCATTTATCCAGATGCAATTAAAATGTCACATCTTCTGCAAACTAGATACTTATCATTAGTAGCTCTCTCTTTTCTTCGCTTCCACAGTATGCTTTTAGCAATTTTATTGCATTATGTATTTATTTATTTTTATTTTTTTTTAAAGAGAGAATGAGAGACAGAGAGAGAGAGAGAGAGAGAGAATTTTTTTAATATTTATTTTTTAGTTTTCGGCGGGCACAACATCTTTGTTTGTATGTGGTGCTGAAGATCGAACCCAGGCTGCACGCATGCCAGGCGAGCACGCTACCGCTTGAGCCACATCCCCAGCCCCAACATTATGTATTTATTTTGAATGATAATTTTCTTTTTGTATAACTCTCTGCATAATGCCTACCATGTTGAGGTTTGGTAATTGTTGGAGGAGTAAATGCATAAGTTAAGGAGTATGCTTAGTCTTGCTACAGACTCTTATGTCACTGAATCGGGAAATTTTCTTGTTAAATAACACAACTTAGAACAGAAACAAAAATTTTCATATATTTTAGTGGGAAGTGATGAGGTGCAATCAAAGAAGCAGAAATAGAAAGATGCTTCCTCCAGCTTGAATGAAAAATTAGCAATGATAGTGACTCTTATTACTTAATTTCTCCTGTTTAACTAGAAAAATTAGTTTAATACTGGTTGCTTAGCATTTCCTCCTAGTTGGTCTGTTCCTTAAGCTCTGGAGATAGGAGTAAATATTTAGATAGGAGCTTTTTTAGTCCATTAAGTCCCAAGTTTCAGTTCTATGACTATTTCAAGAAAACTGACCCAGATGCATTAAAATAGATTGGAAATCATATTCTAGAACTTATATATCCTTTGCATCTTAAATATGTAAATATATATCTCAAACCCTCTAATCATTCAACTATTACTTTTCTCAAAAGAGTAGCACTCTAGAAACATAATATTTATTTTTCAAAGTTTCCATAAGTTGTGTATTTGTTGCTCAATTTACATTTTTATAGGTGTCGCACATCTGGGACAATAGGACTTAACAGATTTTTTTTAAAAAGTTTAAGAACAAGGAATAAGTATTTCATAGGCAGACGATGAAAGAGTTGAGCTAGAACTCATTGTTGGGAGGAAGACAGCTGTAATGTAGCCCAGAAGGATGACTCCAGGGGGACCATTTGTTCAATCATTAGGAAGTCATTTGAGAGCTCAGTTTAGTTGAATAGCAGGCTAAATAAATGCGGGTGTAGTCTTACAATAGAATACTATTAACAATAAAAGTGAATGAATTACACCTCACCCAAGAGCAAGGATGAATCCTATGAACTTAATATATGATAAATTATTCCATTTACATAAAGTTCAGAAGCATGTAAAACTAACTATGCCTTGCTGAGGGGCGTGCACGTGATGTGGTAGTCGTGTGAGAAAAGCTAGAGAATGAAAAACAATCAAGGATGATTCCTGCAAGGGGGACACACGGGGTATGTCAACATCAAGGTGCTGAATTCATTTTCTCATGGGGTGGTGGTGCGGGGTGTTTTGTAGCATGATTCTTTATAGCCTACATATCTACATAAATATTTAGTATAAAACAATTAGAATTTTGGAAGAAGCACTTTTATAGTCCTAACTAAGTGGTTGGCAATGAAAATAAGGGAATTAGAAGTCTGAATGAGGATCTAGAAGACCAAATGAGGACCTTTTCCTAAGATGGGAGAGCTGAGTACGATGTCACTGTATTTGTGTTTCTGCCAAGGAGCAAGAGAGAAGGGCGGGCAGTGCGTGTGACAGATGCAGAGCAAGGGGGGGGGGGCAGGTCTGTGAAATGGGAAGACAGATGCACCTTAATTCAAGGCAAGAAAAGGAGTCCTGTAGATGGACAGGTGGAAACCTAGAGAGAGTAAAGAAGACAGACTGAGCCGAAGGGATCTATGAGTGATGGTATCCATTGTCCCAAAAGAGTAGAGAGATTCATTTCTCTAGGACCGTGTTTCCTGGCTTTTCACTTCACAGCACAAATAGAAAATCATATTACTTGGATGACACTGTGAGGTGAGGAGGACAGCCAGGTGTGGCCATGCTGAAAGCACACAGGGTCAGATTTGCAGCAACTGAGCCCTGGGGCCACCCAGTCTGTATCCAGCTGTGAACAGATGTGTGGGGAGGGAAGCCGTAGGTGGGGCACTTGGGAGGAGAGCACACTGCAGAAGGGTCTTCACCAGGATGAGGTTCTATGTATTTCTTCTGAAAAATGTGAAAAGGTGGACGACATGTCTGCCGAGCCCTTTGCATTTCTGAGCCCTTTGCATTTCTTGAATCTGAAAGCAGTTGACCCACAGGGGCTTTGATGGGGGCTTTTAGAAGTGTGCGGGCTGTGGTGTGGAGGGGCATGAAGGGTCCAGCTCTGTCCAGGGGTCGCTTATGAGGACTGACTTTTTGAGAAGATGAACTTTTATTTTGGGTTCCTTTGAGAATGTGTAAGAGAATTCTTGACAGAATTTGAAATATATTCCATGATGTGAGTGCTAAACATTTACTGGAAACATATATTGCTAAATTTAACAAAAACATAAATTTGGATTTTAAAGCCGTCCCTAGATGAACCTGCTGATAATTTCTTCCTGTGTTTTCATTATCAGTGGGGCTTATTCTAGCATAAGATCTCTAAAATTAGATCCTGTGGATTCTGAAGCATCTCACTAATTATTTAGTATATTGACAAGCTGTTTTTTACTAATGTTTTTAATTTATGTGAGACTATCTTTAGAAGCTCTCTGCTAGCTTTAATAATGCAATTAGTCTCTGAAGAATTTAAATAATTTAAAAGAAATGCTAATAACAAACTCCTAATAGAAACACGGTGTGTATCTTGGTAACAAGAAAGCATTTTTTGACATCAAAGGAAACTATTCCAAGGTAATAATTCTGCAGTAGTTTAAAAATATAAAACAGAGATCATGATGAAGCCATAAGAGGTTACCTAACCCTTTAATTAGTCTCTTCACTAATTATGTTGTTACTTTAAAATTTTATTCATCTTACCTGGAAAAGTCTTGCTAGTGTCTTTCTGAAGTCTCAGTTCATTTTATTTTTAGTTTGGTGCCATCATAACATTGATTTCCTGGACTATAGCATGAGGCCTCGGGGACACAGGAAGAGGGAGGTGACCAACTGATCGTTTACAAGGGTTTATTTACACTTATTCCCATAAACGTTACCTGGTAACACAGAGATGATAAAAGCAGTTTTAATTTAAAAAGTTCTACCAACAAATTTGTGGGTTTTTTGAAGAGAGTTCCAGGTAATCATTAGTAGCTCTTTGTCTCCAACTCAATCCAAGGGAAGTCTGGCCTGTAGCATCTGCTTCTGCATTGGCATCCCGGCATTCCACAGCTGATAAGTCACCAAATGACTCGTCACCCCTGGGAGAATCCCCAGAGTAGGCCAAGATGAAAGGAACCTGAGATTCATATGTTTTTATGGAAACTCTCTGGCGTTGGACAGTGTCTCTGAAGGCAGTCACTTGCTGTACATGAGTCTGGTTCTTAACGTTAACTCCTCCTCCTTCCGGGGACTGTGAACAGAAACCCAGGGATGATGACAAGACTGGGTTGTTTTGTTAAGTTGGTTTCTCCCTCATTTACCCCAGCAACACTCTGTGATAAAGTGCTTGTGTTGTGTAGTATAAATACTTTTGCCTCCTTCAGTTTCTAGGGCCTATGAGTTCCCTCTTGGTGAATGAGGAATGAGTTAGGGTCCTTGTTTATGTATTCCATCAGATGAGGACCCATTCATGCCGGTTTTTCAGTGTTCTGTTCTAATTGTTTACTTTAGAAAGTGAGCTCAGATTTAGGAAATCCAGACTTAACAACAGTCATCCCAGACTTCTAGTAGAAAATTCACTGAGTAAACAGAAGGCAATTTAAATGGCTATTTAAAATATGGGCACCAAGTGATTTATTCTCTGTCTCTCTTTTTTAAACAAAATAATGTGTGAATTGAAAAGCAACTCGTTTCCTTGGTATACTCTGGCCAATGAGCACTCCTTCAGGTTAGGCGTGAGGTCCTTATAGTTAGGAAAACAGCAGGTCAGAAACATACTATTTATATAAATTGTTTGCTATTATTATTATCAACATTTGTGGAGTCTTAGCTGGGTCCAGAAATGTGCCAAGCATCTTTGATGTGGCATTATTTTAATTCTCTCAACATCCTTATGAGGTAGGTATAAATTATCTTTATTTTCAGATTTGAAAATGGAGGCGCCAGAGAGGTTAGCTACCACTGAGGTCCTAGTAAGTGTCTTGGGCAGTTTGTAAGCCCAAATCTGTGAGCACTGTCAGAAATCTGCAGAAACAGCTCCACATTTATGTGCCTTATTTGTTCCACCTAGTCTGTGTGATTTTTTAAAAACACATTTATTTTCCTTTAGAAAATTTTTCAGAACCCTGTGGGATGCACTTTTTCAACATTTTCATGATGAACCACATTTTAAAATTATCTTAAGCATTTTATTTTAATGAGTTTTTTATTTACTAAATGACATGTGCTGAGGAAATTGTGAAGCTACATTTAGTTTAAAATAAGTCATTATAATTTCAGTTTTAAAAATATAACATTTAAATTGCCTTATTTTTGGTGCATTGGCACAGAAAGAGATCACTCTATCCACTCTACAGGACAATCAGAGCTCTTGCTTTTCCCCTTTCTCTACTTATATTTTTTTCTGTTACTGGACTGCCGTGTTACAATGCAGAACATCACTCGGTAACAGGCAGCATCAAAGTCATATGCTTTGAACAAAATCAGTCAAGCCACGTCTCTGAGCATGACACCTGAGCATGACACCTGGTTAGATTTGTAGGTTGCTAGAGCTGGGTTTCTCCTTAGTAAGTTACCTATTGCTGGGTCCTAAAAATCACCTTCTAAATTGACAAGGAAAGAAGTCATCATCAAGCAATAGCCAGATAATCCAATTAGAAAACCAAACCCATGACAGTCTGACCTCAGTTGTTTGGGGGAGAGACTACCTTGCTTGCAGGTAACTTGGATCCACAGTGGGTGACACTCTTGGGCAGAATCTGGCTGTCCTCAGTCTCTCGGGTGTGATCAAAGCTTTTGGCTTTTGGCACCTAATTCAGACACCCTTAGAACTGTTCTCTAACTCTTCTTGTATGGAAGTCCTCCTCTCCAGTGCAGTCATGCACTGCATGATGAGGTCAGCGATGGGCCTCACATCTAATGGTGGGGTAAGTTCGAGTCGCCTGGTCATGCTTCCACAGGCTCATTCTGTGTGTGCACCCTCTGTGGTGTCCACACAGCAGTGAAATCGCCTGCCAGTGCATTTCTCAGAATGTATCTCCACTGTAAGCCACACAGGTCCTGGGAGGCAGGGCTTTCAAATGTTTCCTGTCCCATGTGGTAGGCCAACTCTGCCGCCACTTTGGAATTCATATCACATCTTGCAGTCACTTCCTCCGCCTCAGAGTTGGTGAGAGGACCTTTAGGTTAAAAAGGCAAGTTTCTCGAGTCACCCTTTTTGGTGCCTGCTGCCACTGTCTTGGAAAGCTACAAGAAAAGTCCCAAGCTTTGTCTATTTGAATAGATTGAGCTTAGTTTCCTTCTCACTGGGGAGATAAACACGAACATCTTGTTACCTACTTTTACGTCTTGATTGTGATAATGATTTTTAAAAGTTGCCCATTCTATTCTGCTTTTATACCAGACAGATATGAAAAAATAATGAACACATTTTTCTTTCAGTGATTTTGTGATTTTAGAATATCAACCTCAATGTTAAATCAACATTGCAGGAGAACTTTTGGATAAATTGAAGCAATTTTTAAAATTGGCCCACAATGTGACAAAAAGAGGCTTGCTTTTGGCTGAATGTGTGCAAGTCGTTTAAAACAAGAGGCTCACTTCTTTATGTGTTTCCTGTGTTCCAGGTATTGGTGGCAACTTGGTGGCCATCCAGGCCAGCAGGATCTCCACCTACCTCCACTTACACAGCATTCCAGGAGAACTGCCAGATGAACCCAAAGGTTGCTACTACCCATTTAGGACTTTTTTTGGTCCAGGTATGTGCTTGTGGCCTTTTACAGATTTTAGATGAGGAACTACTACTCTCTGAGATGACAGACACCCATGTTGTGTGACTGTTGCATAGCTGTCCCGTCACTGGGACCTGACCTTGGTGAACAGGAAGACATCTGTATCTTTGCTTATGCGTTTTCTCTTTTATTTCTCTCTTTCTGGTATATCTTGTTTATTAGGAAAAAGGAACCTTACAACAACAACAAGGCATTGCTAGGTGCTTTGGGGAGATGGGTGGACTCTTCCTTTGTCCATTTTTTTTGGTCTTTGTAAATGAGGGGAGAGCCTCAGCGATAAGGATTGGTGCATTATTTATTTCAACCAGTCAAGGGACTGTCACAAAAGGGAGACTATATTTTTGAACCTCACTATTCTTGTCACTTTCTTTTCCTAATGAATATAAGTGTGATTTTTGACTTTTGAATAAAGATCAGAAATGCCCACCTTTGTAATACCAGTGATAGAACTCTAGAGGAATATATAAAATTAAAGCATTCAAGAACTTTCTCTTTTGTCTTCCCTGTTTTTATGGTAGATACTTAAGTATGACTAATGTTCTTTGTTGCAAGTTTTTAGCAACCACCTTTCATTTAATGACATATAACAAATAGTAAAAATTTCAGAGAAATAAGTGAATTATAAATAATTGAAACTTATTTTAATGCTTGAATTTTATTTGATGTTATGAGATGTAGTAACTAGAAAGTAATCCTCAAATTTTAATAATTCTGAATTATGATTAACCAGAATCTGTTTCTGTTTTAGTGACATTTACATTTTCTGTTGCAGGAGTAAATAACAAGTCTGCCCAGGTGCTCCTGCTTCTGGTGATCCCCGGGCATCTGATCTTCCTCTACACCATCCACCTGATGAAGAGCGGCCACACCTCGCTGACCGTGATCTTCGTAGTTGTGTACCTGCTTGCTGCTGTGTTACAGGTAAGAGCTGAAGCCTCTGGAAGCCTCTTGTGGCTCAGACTGCCCTAGAACAGTGACAGTAACGTTAGAGGCACGTCCTGGCTCGCCATGTCAAACGGCAGCTGCAGGCTTGGGTTGATGGGATCTGAGGACAGTAAGCTCTCTAATGTCGTCTGTGTGTAGAACCTCGGGGTTTCCTTTCTGTGGATCCCTGTCTTCCCTTTTTGAGTCTGTGGTGTGTATGAACACCTCCCATAGGTTCTTGACAAAGTGCGCACGGGAGTCGGTTTTTTTTTAGCGTGTTCCAGGTGCTTGACTCCACTGCCCTCGAGGAGCAGGTGGACTGGATATGGACTTCTGTTTCCTTCAGGATCCTGAAGACTTTGCTTCATCGCCTTTTTCTCTTGCTCTTGATCCCATCATACATAACTTTTTATCTCCTAGAAGCTTGGAAGAGCTTCTGTTTTTATTTATTATTCTTAAATTTCATGCTGATATATCTGGTATGGGCATAATTTTGTCTATTTGACCTTTCAAACTAAAAACTCATGTTCTTCAGTTCTGGGGAAATTTCTTAGATTCTTTGCTGATTTTCTTTCTTCTATCTTCCTGGAATCTTATTTGGTCCTTGTATCTATTGCACTCAATGTCTTATTCTTTTTTTCTTTATCTTTATTTTGGCTTCTTGGGCATGGCTTCTCACTACACTTTATCGATCTGGTGCCTCCTACAGTGAGAAAGTCAAACCCCATGAGAGGTGGATTAAAATGACGCCTTGAAGAGATAGCATTTGAAGTTGGCCTTAAAGGGGTTTGTTGTCTAGGGATGGAGCTGGAGGGTAGGGACATTTTTCCAATCAAAAGAAACAGCATTGGAAATGACGATCTGAATGAAATTAGTAGGATTCTTGGTGTTTCCTGTCTGTCAGGCGCCACTCTGAGTACTTTTCATGTGTAGACTGACTTCTCACCAAACCCCACGGGAGATTTGTTCTTTTGATGGAAATAGTGATTCTCAAATCGAAGTCCATGCAAAACAATGCATTTTGTGTAGGAAGAAAAGATTAACACTTCTATTTATCTTTTCGTCTCATGTGTTTAAAATACCTATTTCCTTCTGTTTTTGTGATTAGTAATTAACAGACTATATTATCACAGGGTTAAATAAGCGTGTTCAGATGTTTTTTGCTGAGAGAGATGGATGATCTAAAATTTCTTAGAGATTGTGGAGTAGAAACAGTGGTGAGAAAGCACCGTATCATTCCCTAAGTCTCCGTGCTGTTAGAGGCAGGATGTCCCGAAGTCCTAGAAGCAATGAGTCCAGACCCTGCCATCAGGGACTCATCTGGTGGGAAGAAGCCATACGAGCAGATGATCCCCCAGGTAGAGCTGTGTGCAGAGAGCTTTCAGAGCTTGGGAAAAAAAGTGGCTCACTCTGCCTGGGGAGCAGTAGTTTTTATTTTTTAGCAGAGACAAAATTTCTTTCAAATGCTTTTTTATTGCTGGTTACTTTTATTGCAGTATATGATGCAGCCTCATATTATCATTTACGTGGGATACTCTTCTGTGTGTGTGTCATGAAAAAAGATGTCCCCTCAGACCTGAGGGAAATGGCAGAGGCTGGTTTGGTCTGCTGACAACGTACCGTTTCTGGAGCTCGCCTCTGCTTACAGCTCTGCCTCTCCCTAGATTGATTTGCGGCTTCATGTTTACTGTTCCATGCCCGCGTGCCATCACATGCGACTTCACTGAAGTCTATGAAGAATATAAGCCGTTTTTCTGAGTTTATTTAAAAAAATGAGATTTCATTCTGCATTAGAGTCTCTTTATGTCTCTCACTTTTTTAAACCTCTGACCTAAAGTCTCACCAGTGAAAGTTGTAAAACTGGAGTTGGGGGGACGAGTAATCGCCAGTCCGTGTCTCAATTCTCCTATTAAATGGAAAGAACAGTAGTGTGTACTACATAGCCGGTTCTGAAGATTAAAGTTTGCTGCATGGTAGATGCTATACAATTGTCAGCTGATAGCATTGTTGTTGTTAAATATGAACTATAAGTGGTGTGCAATTGATCTCTGAATGACAATTGCAGCATGTTTTTAATTCTTTTATGGTGTTGATTTTCTTATGTTTCTTTTACAATTTGAGTTTTAAGTGTTTTCTTCTCAAGAATCAGCTATGTGACAGAACAGATCTGCATTTGCAGCTTGACATTATATGTTATTCCAGTGGAATAACATAGAATACGAGATTAAAAATTCTCAGATCAAATCTTTCTGCTTTGATACTAACATACACAAACACACATGTGTCTCCCCTCTCTCTCTCTCTCTCCCCACCCTCTCTCTCTCTCTCCCCTCTCTCTCTCTCTCTCTCCCCACCCTCTCTCTCTCTTCGAGGTTTAGATAAAAGAGCTTGACCTTTCTCAGCCTGCTTCAATCATTTCAAAGATGTATAGCATAAGGAAATAACTTTTTTTTTTTTTTTTTTGCTGTGCTGGAAAGGAAACTGAGGGCCTCACACTTGCTAGACAAGTGCTCTACTGCTGAGCTACACACCCAACCTAAGAAATAGTTATTTATTTATTTATTTTTTGGTTCTGGATTTTAAACACAGAGGTGCTTTACCACTGAGCTACATCCGCAGCCTTGCTTTTTTTTTCTTTTTCCTGAGACAGGGCCTTGCTGAGTTGCTGAGGCTGGCTTTGAACTTGCAATCCTCCTGCCTCCGCCTCCTGAGTTGCTGGAATCAGGGGCGTGCACCACCACGCCTAGTAGAAATAACTTTTTAAACACAGAGAATTGACCACTTAGTCAGATTCACCTTTTAATATTCTTTACTTGATTGGCTTCCATTTTTGATCTGGGTTAAATTAATATTCAGGAGCTTGGCTTAAATCCCAGTTCTTAGTCACATGTTTCAGTCCGTATTGCTCTTCTCATTCCAAAACTGTTTTGACTGATGATTCTGTGGTGGGGCGTTCTAATGTTTAACTTCTCCCTGTTTGGATTCCTGCCTCCCCGAGGGTGGAGAGCATGCCTTTCTTGCTTTGGTCCTCCCCACAGGACATTGAGAGAGCGAGCGTTTTTAAACTGTTCATCATTATACTTTCGTACTAGCAGCCAGCATTTACCAGAAGACTAGCTGTGGTCAAGGTCACAATTGTTGGTTTCAGGACCTATTTTTTTTTTTTATCTACCTCTTACTAGTCTGTGGAACCCACAGTTCTGATTTCATAGAACTGCACTTCCTTCCATGAGCTTAGAGATGGTGGGTTCCTTCCCTGTTGGAGATTCCTCCTGCCATGCTCTCTGACTGCTCCGAGCTGTTCATTTGTCCATTCAAAAGTGTAATGTGGGGTCCCAAGCTGTGATGGGCTTTGTGGGTCTTCCCCCTAAGATGTGAAGAAGGGAACTTTGCCATCTTGAGGGTTTTCAGTCTCTTTGTTTGACTTACTCCCTACAGTCTTTTCCAAAGACATAATACCTTGATAGCATAATAAACCCACAAGATACAGAGATGACTATCAATCAAATAAGGGTCCTGACAGTCTCTTGAGCTAAGAAGAAGCTGCAGCACATCTTGGTGCATTTCCCTATTTAATATAGCTTCTCTCAGTCCTCCTCTGTTTTAGAAATCTTACCTGTGTATCCTTTGTGAAAAGACAAAACTGGAGGTTTGCGTAACATCTCCCAGAAGAAGTAGAAAGATCTCCCTTGACAAACTGTAGGTGGAGAGCCCGGCCAGACGGCAGTGAGATGGGTGATCTGAACCTGAGGGGGCTGTGACCATCCTGCCCCATGACTTCTGTGATGCACTGTTTATTTATTTCACTCCTTTAATTAAAAACGAAAATACTTTTGTTTCACTATCATAATTTGTATTTTTATAATGATGATTAGATATGTGGAACATGTTGATTTTTTGCTACTATAAAATATCTCAAAAGGAAAATAACAATGAGACTTTGCTAACCCTTGATGCCTATTGAATTCCTACAAAATGTTCATTCCTATAATTGGTAAACAATGATTTGAAACAATTTTTAAATGAAAGTTTTAATTGTCTATTCTAGGCACTGATTGTTTCATGAGAAAATGTATGAAAATGTCACACAGAAATCCATTTTTTTACAGCTCATATATGCTAATAATTGTGATTTTTAAAGAGGAAAAAGAGAACTCTACTCATACTCTTGCAATACCAAATTCCACGCGAAAGTTTGGTTATAGAAAATGTTTGCCCTGGGCTGGGCGTGATGGTACATACCTATAATCCCAGTGGCTCCGGAGACTGAGGCAGGAGGCTGACAAGTTCAAAGCCAGTTTCAGCAGTTTAGCCAAGCCTGCAGCAACTTAGCGAAATCCTTTCTAAAAATACAAAGGGCTGGGGATGCGTCTCAGTGGTTAAGCTCCCGGAGTTCAATCCTTGCTACCAAAAAGAAAGAAAGAAAATGTTTGCCCCTGGCCATATCTGTGTTCTCACATGGGAGAGAGAAAATATTTCATTCAAAGTAAAATGACAACAAATTCTCAGTATATCAAGTTGAAAATTATAAATATCAGGATTTATTAGTCACTGTATAAAAGAAATTGAAAGCATCTCTTAAAGATCTCTGTTTGGGGCCAGGCGCAGTGGCTCACGCCTGTAATCCCATTGGCTTGTGAGGCTGAGGCAGAGGGGGATCTCGAGTTCAATGCCAGCCTCAGTAACAGCAAGGTGCTGAGTAACTCGGTTGAGACCCTGTCTCTAAATGAAATACAGAACAGGGCTGGGATGTGGCTCAGTAATTGAGTGCCCCTGCATTCAATCCACCCCCCTCAAAAAAAGATCTCTTAGATTTGGGTTAGACCCAGATGCGTGAAACAACAGAGGAGAGCCCTGCAGAACATCATAGTCAAATAAATCCTATGCCTACTCCTGACTTTCATCCTTAGAAAGTGTTAGACTGTGACTCAGGACGCTGAGTCAGGAGGATTGTGAATTCAAAGCCAGCCTCAGCAACTTAAGCCAGCCTTAGCAAT